TTAAACAGTTAATTGTGCATAAAAATCCCAGCAGTTCAGCACATTGAAGGCACATTTTTACTAAAAATATCAACAGTCCGGTTACCAGTTTAAACCACATTAGGGTATGACTTTTTGTTTGGATGTACAGTTATTTTGATAGAGACACTTTTTTTTCACTTATTTTGGTTCAGTGTTGTTTTGTTTTGAGGACTGTTCTGACTCATTCCTTCAACCTTTTAGGTCAAGAAACAACAGCTAATCAACTAGCATTCTGCGTTGTTATTTCAGGATGTCTCACAAGTGTGAGACATCCTGAAATACTGGAGAAGTAAGACCTCATCGTACAGAGTTCACCTGTCTGTACTGTAGTCAGTGAAATATATCTTTTAAGTTGTGTTTTTACTTCTCAGAGTGAGGAAAGAAGTAAGCTACAGTATGACGACCTCGGGGAACTCTCACAGGTACATCGTGTCCTTTCAACAGGGTTCAGTGTCCGTCTCTTAAGAGTTATCAGCTAAATCGAATGCCTTGTTGCTAGAGGACAGAATGTTTTCAAAATCAATTCAGTTTGTTCATTTAGCACCAGTTCACAACAGAAGTCATTTCAGGGCATTGTAAAAAAAACATTCACATTATAAAATGAAATAAAAAGGAGGTTATTGATCAAATTTTCAGCTTTTACTATGCAAACAAAACTAATGTTTGTACATTGACTTATCCTAAAAAAATATGAATCGTGATTAAAAAAATAATGTTCTGGGACTTCAAAACAAATTCATTGAAACCTGCAAAGAACTGACACACATTACATTGTTAAAAAAAGAAGAAAAAGCACCTCTGTTTGGAAATCTATACCTCACAGTTGGAACACTGTTTAGCGTTTCGACTGCGTCAAGGTCTCAGTGGTGCGAGTGGTCCTTGGAGTAGTTGGTGCTGTGGCATCAAGGAAACACTTCAGMGATCTCTGTCCAGAAGAGTGCAGTCCTTAGAACAGCTAAGAGACCAAGCAGAATCCTCAAGCTTCCAAGCCTCTAGCAGGCTTAATTGGAACCACTGAAGTGGAAGATAAGAAGCAAAACAGCAACTAACATGGGTGTTAAAGTGGATTTTAAACTGGATGCTCAGATTAAAACAGTGATCAAGTCCAGCTTTTATCACTTGAGACAACTGGCCAAGGTCAAGCCATTTCTTTCACGTCATCATTTTGAGATCTTGATCCATGCTTTTATCACAACTCGCTTAGACTTCTGCAATGCACTCTATGTCGGGCTGAGCCAGTCGTTACTGACTCGACTTCAGCTGSTYCAGAACGCTGCCGCTCGCCTTTTAACTGGTACCAGAAAACGAGATCACATCACTCCTGTTTTACAATCAYTACATTGGCTCCCAGTTCGCTTCCGAATTACTTTTAAAGTTTTAACTGTTTGCTTTTAAATGTCTTCATGGTCYTGCCCCAATGTATTTATCTGACCTGCTCCGACCTTACGCTCCCTCTCGTGCCCTCAGGTCAGCAGATCACCTTCTGTTGGTCGTCCCTAAATCTAAGAGGAGGCTGAGAGGTGATCGAGCATTTTCAGTCGCTGCCCCTAAGCTGTGGAATGAGCTGCCTTTGCACGCTGACTCACTTCCTGGTTTTAAAGGGATCCTTGATTAGTTGTAACATGACTTTATATGATAAAAATATACTTTAACTGTAAAATAAAGACTGTAAAAATACTGTAGGC